ATGACTCTTCTGGTACCGTCTTAATGCAAAGAAGACCACCTTCTGTGGTAGGCGAATTAATGGGAGAATGCAGAGGTGTGGATGAGTTGTGCACTACATTATTGAAGCAAATACCTTTATAAAGGGAAAACTGTTCTGTTGGAATAACCACTTTTAAAATTCTAATTCCTATATGTTGTTTTTGGTAAATTTTGTTTTTTTTAAAGTGAATTCCAAAGTCAAACATAAACTACACATTCATAAATTCACAGGTTAGAGTTTGAAGGGACTTCAGTGATTATCTAGTTTAATCTCCTCAGACGAAGAAATGGAATCTCTGGGGGAAGCAGGTGGTATGAAAGCAGCAACATGGTATGAAAAAAAAAACCAACTCTTTAAAAAAAAAAACTACCAAGAGCACTGGTTTTGAAGTTAAAGGAACCGAGTTCCAATCCTGGTTCAGTTATCTACAACCCATGAGATCTTGGGCAAAGTACTATTATCTCTCTATGCCCGTTTCATCATCTGTAAAATGAAAATGTTGGACTAGATAATCTCTAAGTTCCTTTTATAGTTCTAAAATGTATGTGCCTATGATCCTGAATGCCTTGATAAAGCCAAGCCTAGAATCCAGGTCTTCTGATTCTGTATAATGGTCTTCCTACTCTGTCCTATATTAGTGTTTTTTTAAGAGTTGGTTAAAGAGGCTGGTGAATATATAAACCCTTCCTTATGAAGAGGTGGTGGGACTCTTTTTTTGAGTCTGGCAGCAGAGACATGGTAGAGAAAACTGAGGAAAAACTCTCCAGAGGAGGCAGCTAGATGGCGCAGTAGATAGAGCACCAGATCTGGAGTCATGAAGACCTGAGTTCAAAATCCAGACTCAGACACATGATACTCACTAGCTGTGTGACCCTGGATCACTTAACCCCAGTTGCCTGGCCAAAAATAAATAAATAAATAAATAAATAAATAAATAAATAAAATTAAAAAAAAAAAAGAAAAAAACTCTCCAGAGTCCAAGTATTTTGGGTAAGAACAAATGACAGTAAACATAGGGTAGAGGTATTTCATGAGGAGCAGGTTCTTTTCTACCACCTATCCTACTAACCTAGCTGATGTCATTAAAAAAAAAAAATCACTTCCAGCATCATTACTTATCGACCCTGATATGTATCCTATCAACATATAAAAGGTTGAATCTTGTGCATTATCTGTAAGAATGTTACCTCTTAAAATATGTATATATATTTGTAAAAGTTCTATTAAAAATGTATAGCTAATGGAAATAACATAGTCTAATGGATACATCTAGAGGTTCAAAATTTAAAGGTGTCAAAGTATTACTGTAGTTTTCTTGGAGAAGCACCATGGGAAATTTTTATTGCTGGGGAATTATAAGAAGTTATGAGACACATTATGGCAGCAGGAATCACGTAGCTGATTCCAAGTCATCATCACAAAACAGCAGTCTCCTTATTTCATGGGAAACTTATATAACAAAGTACTGAGAACTCCAATGCCTACATCTTCAATTTTTTTTCACCTCCTATATTTATATCTCCTTTAGGAGAGAGGTAATCTGGTGAGGAAGTAACTGATTGGGTCAATAAACATTTTGGGCTTATTTGCCAACCAATGGAACTAAGGATGTCTGGTGTGGATTTTTAAAAAAATTATTTGTGGGAGTAGGCAGTGAGGAAACCTTTGTAGTATTTGGAGCATTTCAAAGATAGGTTTTTAAAGTGTCTGATTTAAATGATCACCTCTCAGGCCTAACAGAGTTCTATACAGTGTAGGTGTTTAATATGTTTGCATTTTATTTCATGATAATGATAAAATGAGGTGACCCAAGTAAATTAATTTTAGCAAAGGTCTGACTATGCTACTCCTTCATTGAAGAAGCTTCAGTGGCTCCAAGTTAAAATACAGATTCTTCTGTTTGGCATTTAAAGTCCTTCACTGTCTGGCTCTCACCTACCTTCACAGGCCCATTTCAAATTACTTCCCTTTAATTTACCTTCCATCCAAAAGAGCCTGCTCCTCCCAAAAGAACTTTCTATGTCTTTGGTGGGGGGATGGTACTAAAAGCACCCATACTCCCCCTTTCTCTTCATCTCAGTCTCTTGGAATTTCTCTTTCTCCTCAATTGCTTAAGTGCCTCTTAGCTCTGACAGTTTCTCCCTTCTCCAACCTCCCCCAAATTACTTTGTATTTACTTCATATACATTTTGCATTTACCTATCTACCTACATGTAGTTCCTTGTCCTGCAGTAGAAAGTAAGCTCCAGAAAGACACGAAATTTGTTTTGTGTGTGGTGTATAGTCTCAAAATCTACCACAGAACCTGAATCTTTTGGTGGGGGTGGGACATCTTGGTTTATAGGTGTGATTTCACTGGTGTGGGAAACCGTCTCTAGTAATGCAGAATGACAATTGTTCTAAAACTTGATAGTATAAATTTAATAAACGCTTGTTAAATTCAGTGAAAAGAAACATCTTTAGTAAATCACTCAAGGGTTACCTTTTAGAAAATCACTGTAGACTTAAATTATATTTTTAACAGCCTAAGACCAGATTGTGTGAGAATTCGAATTCATCCTTAAAAGTAAATTCCACTATTAAAATTCAATTTGATTTGTGAGAAGTAGCAGAAATAGGTACTACAAACATTTTCATTCATATCCAACTCATTTCAATTAAACCAATTTCATGCTTCTAAAATTGAAATTTTAATTACATGTGACTTGTTTCTGAAGTTCTATCCGGGATAAAACGACTGACTATTCTAACAGAGAAAAAGATAAATAATAAAATTACAGGTAATTCTCCAATATCTTGTTTTTAACTTTGTCACCAACTACTTTACTGACAAATCGAAGATTTAAAACATTTAACACTAGTCAAGTTCATCATATGATAGATTTGCTGATTAACCATCAAAATGACCTATAGCCAAAGGGCAGGAGAAACCTGTAACTCACAAGGGAATTAGTAATTTACGGTATTCCTGAGAACTTCTAAGAATAATCACAACTGCACTTTAAAAATGTCCAACGAAATAAATTCTTATTTGCGAAATGATAAAGAGGGCACCACTTGTTTCTGAGGCACCTCTAATTCACTAGTATCAGAAAGCTTCAATTACGTAACATCGTACAGTAACATGTTTCTTTTGTAAGCTTTCCTTTCCCCCTGAACGTCTATTCAATCCCATTACAGCTCTGGTCTCCAAGGGATGGAAGAGCAGGAATTTCCCTCGCTCTGGAAGGAAAGCACCCCCGTTCCCTCCTTCCCTAGCTCCCCCCAAGGCAGCGATTTTGCTGCGCCCCGCTTCTTCTTGGGAGTCGAAAAAGGACAATTCCGGCGTAGCTCCGGAGCGCGGCTCAGTCATCGCCTCACGCCCGGAGGCAAAACCGCCCGAAACGCCGACCGAGCGCAGGGCGTTCCAGTCTCCTTTATCGGAGGCACAGATCTGGGGCCAGCGGAAGTTCGCGGGCCTCGACCAAGCGAGAGAAACCCCTGAGCGGCCCGAGCGAGAAACCGCCGCCTGCACGGAGCCTGAGGACGCGGAGGCAGCCGGTTAAACGCCCCGCCAGCTGTCTGCGGAGAGCGCCCATCGGCCCGGCCAGACCCAAGGAAGCGTTAACGGTCGTTTCCCGAGGGCGGGAGAAAAGCATCTTCTCAAGCACGGCGGTCCGAGAGCAGCCCCGAGCGGGTATAGGGGAAGGCGGAACGGAGGCGGGGCCGGCGAAGGCATCCCTCGGGCCGGGGAGGGGCAGGGGCGGGGGCGGAGGAAAAACACGCGACACTCCCAGCCTGCGCCGCTCGCTCCCGCGCGCGCTCTCCCAAGTCCCGCGGAGTTTAACACAATGCCGACGCCAACGCCACGCGCACCGCCCCAGAAAGCTCGATTAACCCGGCGCAGGAGAAAAGGGGAGGGGGGAGGGGGGAAGAGTGCGAGCCAGAAGTGGGTAGGCCGGAAGCGCGCGCGAGAGCCGCAGACAGCGCGAGACCCGGGTAGGCCGGAAGCGCGCGTGCGCGCCCCCGCCCGCGAGCAGGGAGGAGGAGGCGGAGCCGCAGCACTAGCGGCAGGAGCTGGAGGAGTCGCTGCAGCTGGGAGAAGCGCCAGAGAGGCCGGGCCTGCTCCGGTCTGACCGGATCCCTCCCCTCCCCCTCCCTTCCACCTCCCCTCCCCCCAAACCCACTTCCGCAGCTCGCGGCCTTGCCGCTGAAGCAGCAGCAGCAGCAGCAGCAGCAGCCGCAGCGGGAGGAGGAGGCGGAGGCAGCGAAATGTCTGAGGGGGTAACGCACCAGACGGGCCCGTCTCTCCAGGCTCCAACGCGGGATTCTCACCTGCCGCCGCCGATCGTGACAGACCTCGCGGTTGCGGCGGGAGGGGAGTGGAGAGAAGGGGAGGGGCCGGGGAAGGGGAACGGAACGCGGATTGCCCCCCCTCCCC